TTGGAGTTTAGGCTGGATCAGAGGTGAGGGGTGCCCCAGTGTTGAGTGAAAAATCATACATAGCAGGTGAACTCTGAACCGTACAGCACTTTGCAGATTATGCCAGATTTTTCAAGATGTCCTTGTGAGCCAGAAACTCAGGAACGATTTCTTTGGGGACTGTGAATGAACGTGTTGATGAAGTAAATTATCTTTCTGAATCCTGCCACAGCTACCGCAGCTGGACCTGCTCATCGTTTTCTTGCTGCCCTTGAGAAGGACACCAGATTCATTCACCAGTTGTCCGACCTTGGCTTTGAGATTCCATCTTTCTCGGGATAACTGTGATTAGGGGAAGGTCTAGATGGATAGAAGTCTAGGGATAGAGATCCTGACCCTTTGGTCTTCTCTGTCCAAGCAAGGTGCCAGTCGTGATGTTCCTGGGTCTTCCATGCTCTCCAGTGCACAGCAGTGACCCTGGAACTCCCGTGGTGGGCTGGATGCTCTGGAAATTCTGCCTTTTTTGGAGATGATAATTTGTCCCTCTGGTCTCGTGGACGAGAAGCTCAACATGAGCCGTCAGTGGCACTTGCAGCCCAAAAAGCCAATCGTGTCCTGGGCTGCATCAAGAGGTGTGTGACCAGCAGAGTGAGGGAGGTGATTGTCCCCCTCTGCTCCACTCTTGTGAGACCTCACCTGGAGTGCTGCGTCCAGCTCTGGAGCCCACAGCACAAGAAAGATCTGGACGTGCTGGAGCGTGTCCAGAGAAGGGCCACGAGGATGCTCAGAGGGCTGGAGCATCTCTCCTGTGAAGACAGACTGAGAGAGTTGGGGCTGTTCAGTCTGCAGAAAATAAGGCTCCGAGGAGACCTTATTGTGGCTTCCAGTATCTCAAGGGGGCTACAAGAAAGCTGGGGAGGGGCTTGTGAGGGTGTCGGGTAGTGACAGGACTAGAGGGAATGGATTGAAGCTGGAGATGGATCGGTTCAGATTGGACGTTGGGAAGAAGTTTTTCCCCATGAGGGTGGTGAGACCCTGGCACAGGTTGCCCAGAGAGGGGGTGGCAGCCCCATCCCTGGGAGTTTTTCAGGCCAGGCTGGATGGGGCTCTGGGCAGCCTGATCTAGTGGGGGATGTCCCTGCCCATGGCAGGGGGGTTGGAACAAGATGATCTTTAAGGTCCCTTGCAACCCTGACAGTTCTATGATTCTATGTTATGGACAGAGCCTTGGAAGCACAGCAACATCTAGATGTCTATCAGCTGTGTGGACAGGGATCTATAGGAACCTTACCTTCACTTCTTCAATATTTCAATGAATCTAAAGCCTAAGTACATGGTACTTACTAACTTAGTGTTCAATAATGAAGTCTTTTCAGGACATCTTGCATAAACTTGCTTAGGTGCCTTAAGCCCACATCTTCAAAGACATTTAAATAGCACCTACTTGAGCTGCCTGAGACCTTACTTTCAGCTTCAGCTCTCGTTGATGAAGTAAGGATATGTGCTTTACACACATAAGCCCTTTTTACATCCGTCTCTTTTTACATCCGTATTTTGCTCCAGCACAATGAAGCCAAAATATGAGTTAAGCTGTGAGCGCTGCAGCAATATAAATGACTCTAACCTGGCTCATGGCACCCCAAAATGAAGAACACCTTGCTTTTAATCCTCCATCTGCTAAAACCCTGGTTGTCTTTGCTGCAAAATGTTGAATCCAAGTTCCACCTGGATGAACGGGCAGTGGTAAGGAGCCTCACCGAGGTTGGGAAATGACCTCAGAAGATTCGTTAGGCTTTCCAAGGATCAAGAAGGGGTGGAAGGAGCAATCACTGTCTGGTTTACCACGGAGATTTCAACATTCAGTGCTGTCTAGTCCCTTCCACGCAGCAAATAATGGCAAGGCACTGTAATTGGGAGGCTGCAAGAACTTTTCTTTTTCAGCTATTTTAGGGGCAGCATAGAAAGCTGATTGCTCCCAGGGGGCATGGTCAGTTCTCAAAACTTTCAACACGGAAAGCTGAGCTGAATTAATTACAGTCTGTGTTCCAAAAGAAAATAAGACCTCTGATGTGCCTTATTTGCTTGATGCTCTTTTTGTTTTCAGCTGATGACCCCTAGGTAGCTTTCCTTTCAGTGGCAGCTCCTTTGCTTTTTTTGTAGTTTCTGTTTTTATTAATTAGAAGGCCTGACACTTACAGCCCAAGACATTTATCAGCGTGGTACAATTTTAATTAATCTCGCAATAAAGCTACTTGAGGTGAACTCGTAAAAGGTCTCCTATAGGAGGAATAACATGTAGCAGTGCAAATACTGACACAGGACACTTACTCTGATGTGCTTGACAGGACGTGGGATGTAGTTTGGTGCAAGCTCGTACATCATGGCTTTGCTTTCAGGGACAGCAACACAAGCAAGGTGTACTCCTACACAGCATGCCAGCTGCATCCTGTAGAGTCTGAGTACCCTAAATACGCTGAAAAGGAAGCATTTCTATGAAGACGAAGATCTGGATTCCCAGTAGGTTCCTCTTGGCTCTGAAAGGATCTTGGATATCCTTTGATGGCTAATTAATGAATAATAATACTAACAAAATTTATAAAATCTACTGGTTTTTGTAGCATTTGCAAAGAAATAGCAAGTTTTAGTCCTCCGGGACTTCTTTCTTGTGCATATATCATAGTCATAAGTGGATTTTGACTCAGAACATTTGAACTCAACATCATGGGATGTTGGAAGAGTGCGTATTCTGATCTAAACTTCTTAACCGAGGCTTACTTCTGTAAGACAGATGTAAACTAGCTCAGAAGCCAAGCTTAAGAAAAACTGTCTAAGGCTATTGGGGATATATTGAGCAGCGCCATATGTTAAACTGAAAATAGTTTGGATAGAAACTGCATAGTCAATCCTAACTATGGTCACAAATTTCTAATTCCAAGGTGGAGATTATGCCATCGACTGCATCTGGATGGAGGAATGGCAAATTTACAGTCTTTCAAAATTAATTATCTGCCTCTTCTACAAGTCCTCCAATGTTCACAGCAGACATGGTCAAGCTAGATGTGAGCAAGGAAAAATAATTTATAACATGATTTTCTCACGTGGAAATAGTAAGTGGGAATGGCTGACGTAAGGAATTACTAAGTCTCCACCGCTTGATGTCTTCTTGTAAAAAATTGCATGTCTTTTGGGAAGTTGGATGCAACACTGACTATTGGTTTCCACACAAGTCTAATTGAGTGAAATCTTGGATCGTGAATTTATATTTGTTGAGCAGTTGATGTCTTCTTGACCTGAAGATTAAGGGAGGTGGAACAATTGCATTCATGGCTACACCATCTCACTTTTGAAACTTCTTGATACTTGTAGAAGTTGGAATCACTCGCTCCCCATTTTGATCTTCTCATTTTTGTTGCTCTGTGGTCTGTCCTGATTATGTTCTTCTCCTCATGGCTATAGATTCAGTTTGAGAAAGATGGTTTTGTGATGTTTTTCATGGTTTTTTTTCGCATTCTCCCTTTTTCATTAAAAGCTTTCAGTAACCGTAGTTGGTTTCTTTGGGTGACTTGACAATGGTGCAATGGTAAATAAATCCTATTGTATTTCTATGTGAAGTTTTCTAAAGCTACTGCCACCTGCCAGAGCTAAAAACCCATATTTTTCAGCTTTTGCTCATAGACTATCAGCTACCATGTGGGGTGTCTGTGCAAGGGTTAGGAAGACAATTTCTACTACAAACAGAAAAGGTCTTCATGAACAGCTGGAATTTTGCCTGACATATATTTATATATAAAAGCTAGTTCTTGGTTCATTTACAGATGCAATCAGAATGAAACTTAATCTGTCACTTCACAGCACAAACTCTCTTGAATGTTGCACCAGGTAAAAATTGTCACTTGGATCCTTGCCATTTGCCACGAGTAACTGTTTGGCAGTTGGTCATTGGCAGTTCTCAATGGTGTTTCTTCAGGATAATGCCACACTATATCATCTGAAGGAATAAACTCTCCCTGCTGACATGAGCTGGGGTGAATGCACTGGCAGTTGACTGTGTATTACAGAAGCTCTCTGAAGCTTTATTCAATGGAAAAGAGACTATCAGGTCATTGGGCCCAACCTGTACGTTTGGCATCAAAAGAAGTAAGGGGCTTACAAAACCTAATAGGAATCGAAAGGCTTTGGTCCATTAGACAGGAGGTCAGGCTAAGCAGTCCCTTCTGCCTTTGAAATCTCTGACTTGAATACTTTAATTAAAAAGGAAGAAAGGAAAAAAAGGGAAAAGGTAATAAAATGCAGTATCTTGGCAGTAGATGGGTGTTTCAGATCCACCTCTAGTGCCTTCTGAGATTCACAGTCGGGGTGACAGCAAGATCGTTCAGTACCCAGGCTGGCAGCATCTGTCCTTTTCTTGCTGGGAGCAACCTCTCCAGGGATGGGACAACTGATACTTGGAAAGATGCATGTGCAATAGGAAGTGGAGCTAATACTCTCCTGGGACCAGTGGTGGTGCAGGAGGTCATGTGAGGAAGACAAAGACATCACGAGACCTCAGTTCTCACAGGAAGCCAGAAAGTAACAGGGTCCACAACCAAAGTGTAGGAGAAGTTGAGATCCAGCGAGTTTAACTCGTTGCAGAGGATCACACATTGTTTAATTGTCTCAAGGTACCACATCATCACAGTCTGCACACAGCCTTCCTGACTTGCTGATTCCCTGTGAAACTGTGTGAGGTCGTCTGGCAATGGTGCGTGAAAGGCCGTGGGGAGGAGAAGGTGCTGATCTCAACAGGGATTGCACCAAGTTGAGTGCTGATCTGGGCAGGGGTTGCACCAGGTTGAACTCTGGAGCAATCTGCAACCCCATCCCTGTGTCTGCCCCAGGTCTGTCGAGCTCTGAATGGGTGTTCCTCTGGGAGGACAGGCACCCTAGGAAGAGGACAGGGTGGGTGGCACCTCCGTCAAAACATTATGGGTGTTGCAGAGCACTGTGAAAAGCCTGACAGGTTGTCCCCTTTCCTCCTGCAGCTCACTCGAGTGCCTGTGGAGTCGTGTAGCCAGTACGAGACCTGCAGCGAGTGCTTGGGCTCAGGCGACCCTCACTGTGGATGGTGTGTTCTTCACAACACGTAAGTACCTGCTGGTGTTTGCCACCACCCCAGCCCTGCTTTTCCCCCAACCATCTTCCCTCAACAGCTGTTATAGCACATGGCACAGATGCAAAATATTGTCTCAGTCTCTAACTGAGCCGGGTGAGCCTGTAACTCACCCAGATACCTCCAGCAAGGTTTCAACTGAGAAGCATTTTTTGAAAGACAAGGGCAGAGAAGTGTGATAGAGGTTGGTGGGATCTCCTCAATCACCTGGTCAACGGTCTTCTGACTGCACTGTGAAAGCACCTATCCACCTGGCACACTTTGAATCAAACCCTCTGGGTTATAATTACCTTCTCTGGGTTACAATTACCTTCTTGTTCCCATCGCTTAGGGCTGTTTGGTTCTGACTAGCAGCCTGGCTCAGAATGATCTCAGCACCTCCAGCTTTCCATGGCTGACCTGAACCTCTCCTCATGATCTCTGAGAGGAACCAGGCCCCTGTAAGCATCATGGGGTCCACTCCAAGTTCAGTTTGGTATGTTCATGTTTGGTATGTTCATGTTCACCGTGAGAAAATGTTGACCCTGAAGTTGAACGTTTGTACTGTGTGGATCAACTCAACTGTGCCAAATAAGCACAAATGAGCCAAACTGCACATTTCACTTATCTGACCAGGATGATGAGCAGATTTAGCTGTATCCACATTCTTGGGCTTCTGTGTAACAGGCCAAGAGGGGATCACACTTCACTATGCCGTTATTCTAAGTGCTGGTTTATCTAACACCTTGCAAGGAGCACTGCATCCAAGTGTCCTCAGAACTGGGACATTAGTTCATTGGCTTTGTTTTCTGCAGGCTTTTAAATGATGCAATTGATCTTGAAGTTTCCTCTCTGCAGCCTTCATTGTCAGTGATCTCCTCCTGCAGAGAGCCCTCTGCCAAAGCCGTGGAGAGGGAGGTGTCAGTTGGCTGAGCTCCTGCCTATGAGTGGCAGGGTGGACTCATTTGCCAAGAACCTCTCAGCAGAGACTGTGGCTGGAAAGTGCATGGGATCTGTCTAACCAAACACCTCCAGCTGAGTGTGGCTCTGCAGGGTGCTGTCACTCCAAGTCTCACAGTGTCCTTGGCAACGATGGAAGGTTTTTCTGATGGACTTTGCTATTGCAGTGTTTCTGTCTTCTCTGGCCAAATTCACCTCTGACTTCTTCCTGTTGAACTTACAAACCCTCCTGGTGGAGACGGAGATCCAGCTGAAGTGATCCTCCTTGCTACTTCTCCTTTTTGGAGGAGAAGAAGAGGGAACATACCTGTGCCATATTCCAGCCTTCTGTGGATGCTCTTTAGTTTGTGTGAGCCTAATCCAAACCCATGACAGTCTGCTTAAGTTCAGATCAGATCTAGGTGATCCATTCCAAAAGTTGTCCAAAAATTTGACTCAGGCTCTGGAACTGTTCAAGGGATCGTGAGTTGGTTTAGATAGACAAGAACTCATGAAACTTTCACTCTGCCGACCTGAGATTATTTCCAATTGATATACAGCTCTATAGTGCGTTTCCACATCATTTTATCCTGCATCCATCCTATACAGAACTCTGTTTTTCTGCGGATGGCAAAGAGGCACAGACTATGTGCAAGCAGTACAGGAAAGCATGAATTTGGCCATTGATTGTGCCACAGCCATGCTAGATTTTTCACCTCCTGCTGTCCAGGGTCACTGGCAACAAGCAAAAAGTGCATCCAGCAACAAATCCCCAAAAGAAGAGAAAAAGAGCAGAGACAACTGCAGGTTGCCTGGCAGATGATTGTGAAGGAGTGTGTGAAATGTGATGGCTGATGAAAAATGGTGGAAGCAGCATTGACATAGTTACAAGAAAGACTCCTATAGACTCAGTCCTTCAAGTAGTTTGACCTTACAGTTGGATCTGGCTGATGTCAGGATCCCCATGCCCTCCTCCCTGTGGTCATTTAACCTCTGTTTCCTTATCTGGAAAAGACAGGCATCTCTTACTTATGTAGCTTGCAGCAGGGTCACAGAAATTAATTCCCTGTGGATATTTTTTTAAGTAGTTGGAAAGAAAATGTGATCAAATCTCACTTCAGTCTGTTCCTTCCCCCTAGCTTCCATGGCAGTCAAGAAATCAGATTTCCAGTTCTGGTTTGAAATGAGTTTTCAGCGCAGCTTAAGGTGTTCCTCTCTGGATCTGTTTCCTCATCTTTTTAGGTAGCCCTGAGAGCAGAGGAGCGAATTACATAGAATTATAGTATTGTTTAGGTTGGAAAAGACCTTTAAGATCACCAAGTCCAACCATTAATCTTGCAGTTCCAGGTGCACCACTAAACTATGTCCCTAAGCACCATACCTTACATTCAACAAGATTTAGCTGTGAGCATATTCAGGGTGAGATTGCCTTAATACTAAGTCTCTTATCAGAGAGACTTTTTGCACAGCAGAACACCCTAAGATTCATTAACTGACTTTTCCTCAGGTGGGATGCATCGTCAATGACTCCTGCATGAGGACCTCTGAGGATATGTGCTATTCTGCTATTCTACAACTACCTGAAAAGCAGTTGTAGTGAGATGGGGTGCAGGTCTTGCATGTAACAAGCCATAGGACAAGAGGAAGTGGCCTCAAGTTGTGCTAGCAGAGATTTGGATATTAGGATATTAGGAAATATTTGGATTAGGAAAATTTGGATTGGATATTAGGAAAAAAAAATCATGAAAGGGGTTGTCAAGCACTGGAACAGGCTGCCCAGGGAAGTGGTGGAGTCTCCCTCTCTGGAGGTATTTAAAAGTTGTGTAGATGTGGTGCTCAGAGACCTGGTTTAGTGGTAGACTTGGTTCGGTTGGACTCTATGATCGTAATGATCTTCTTCAACCTAAACAATTCTACGATGCTATGATTCTATACACATTTCCCCTCGTGAGTCCTAACCCTTCCTTCTTCCCTCCCTGTGGGAAATCCCAGGGGCTTTCTAATGCCCGGTTAAATCCAGCTGTGTTGATGTGGGAGATGTTTTGTGGAAGGGATGGAGCAGGAGGTCGGGCTGTGCAAGACCTGGGGTAAAGCGGTACTGGAAAGTAGATTGCCTGTCAGCGATGCCATGTCTTTCACTCATATTTTTCCTCCAGTATAAACCATCAAGAGGATCAGCGGTAGACTGGGAGACAGATGAAAACTGCCAGCTAGGGGTGCAGCATCTGTGTTTTTGTTTCTTTTACCTGGGTCTGTCTTATTTCGGGATTTGCGACTCTTTTCCCTGGAATCCCGTTTCCAAGCTACCCTCACCTCCCACCCCGTGAGAGGTCTGGGAATGCCTGGGGACAGCTCTCCATCCATCGTCTCACGGCGGAGCTGGGCTGTCTGCGTGGAGGGCGGCGTGCCAGGGCTCAGGAATCGATTTCCACGGCTCTGCTGTCCTAACCTTACACCGAGAAACTCGAGTCCTCTGAGAGAGAAAGAGACAGACAGACCCACAGACGGCTGCAGGAGAAAAGAGGGGAGGGGGAAGGATTGATTGGTTTCTGCCCCGAGAAGAGGAGAACCGATACAGAGCAGGTCACCGGAGCTTTTCATCTCTGTATTTTTAGCCCCGATCTTGCCCCCCCCCCTCCTCTCTTTGTCCCTGCCATAGCTCAGCTCACCTCCTGGGCTCTGTTCAGGTCTCTTTAGGTGATGATGAATCATTTAGTCGGTGTAAATTGAAAATGTGGCACTCGGTTGCTGCATGGGTCTCCAGGGGAGGGTGAGGGGCTGGGGTGGGAGCGGGGAAGGGAGGAACCAGGCTGAAAAGCTAATAGATGGCACAGAGGTGCCTGGTCGCAAGGTCAAAGCAATGTCGCCAGCCCGAACAGGGGGCTGCAGGGAGGGATGCAGCCTGAAATGAATGGCAGCTTCCTCCTGTGTCAGATGCCACCCGGTATCTGACCACTCCTCTGAACCCCTTAGCAAGTTTCTTCTGTCTCCATCCATACCCAAACTATTACCCTCCTCTATCTCCTTTCCCCCTCACATGCAGAGAAGTGGAGATACCAGAAGTTATTTGCCTCTCCTCGAGGAGAGACAAAACCTTCTGCAGCTGAATGAGGCCTCACTATAGTTGCCTGGCCCAGCACCAGCTCCAGAGGAGACACGCTCAAGCACCAATCCATGTGCACGTTGGTGACCACACAAGCTTTCAGGCCAGCACAGTGTCTCTGCGTTGTGTTTAACACCTCAGCTGTCACCACAACGAATATTTGGTGAGAAGACCTGCTGCATTCCTATAGGGAGGGGCATATATAGGGAGGTCTCTTCTATATGGACACCTTGCCGGGTGCAGAAGGGACCTGTCCCAGCCTCTTTTGTCTTAGCTGCCACTCCTAGATTTTCACTGTGCTGCCTTGTTTCATCCCAAGTAACCTCTACTTCTAGGATGAACAGAAACTGTCTTTGAGGGAGGATGCAGCCCCTGGGCACCAGCCTCCTCCTCTTTCTGGGATCTGCCCTTGCTGTTATGGGGACTCCTCTGTCAGTGGGTCATAAGTTGCAATCACAGAAGCAAATAATGATATTTTCTGGGAGGACTTACTTATGGTATTTCAAAACTTTTGGGTTTTCCCCAGCTTGTAGTGGGCCAATTATTTTTTTTTAATCACAAATGTTCTTGAAAGCTATTTCAGAAGGGGCTGATACCATTTAGTAATTGGGGAATGATTCATTTAGACCTCAGAATTTCTTATTTTGAGGATTTTATTTCAGGTTTTAGTAAATTGCTTAAAATTTGAAAGTAAAAAGTCACCCTGAATCAAAGCATTAATTTTTTTTTTTCCTTTAAAATGAAACATTTGGGCATCTGTGATTTCCTTCTCCCCCAAAATCCTTTACCAGCTCTAGAGACTGAGCAAAGCAGGCTGTCAACAAACACTGCTGGCTTGGAGGAGCTGACATTTGCTGTGGAGGGAAGCAGGATTGTTTTTACATCACCAGCCTGTCCTTGCTGCACTCCTCTGCACATGTCCTTTGTGTGTCCTTCTGGCACCCGAGGACCT